CCCAACTCACCCGGTTCCTGCAAAACCGCACCCGGCCCCCCATCCCGCACTCCCGGCCTGGGTTCCCTGGAGAGCCGTGCACGCTTCGGCCAGTGGAGACGACAGTCCCACTCGCGACCCCAAGTCAGCCAGGGAGGGCCTGGCTAGTAGACGGGCCTGGGGTGGTTGGAGCGCAGGGCAGCGCGTCGGGGTCTCTTTCCTCAGCGGAAACAGGGCTGGGAGCCCCCCGCCCGGTGTTCAAGGAGCCAAAGCGCGGCACTCAGAGTTGGGCGTCCCTCCTGCCTTGAGCCAGGGTTTCGGGGACCCTTCCGAGGGTAACAGCCTCCATCGACCCGTCCCGGCGGGGCAGCCTGGGGCGCGCACGCGAGCTGGTAGATCATCCCACGCCCACCAGCGCGCGGCAGCGGCTTTCCAAGCCGCCATCTGGCGTAGGGACTCGAGCTCAGCCACTAACTGCACAAAACGAAAATGGACCCCCGAGGGCCGCGGTGCGAGCTGATGCTGGGCCCCTGCACAGAGCCGGGAGGGTGGCTTTCGTTCCTGCCACCGAAACCCTGGGGGCCGGGGCGAAACGGCAAAGTCGTTGAGGACGGACCGCACCGCGCGAGGCTGGTCTGGCGCACCGACTCCCTGAACGGCTGTCCGTGTTCGCACGTTCGTGCCGCAGCTCCAAATGGGCAGCGGACGATATTCACGTCTGCCACTTGCTAACATGTAACGCCGCCAAAAAGGACAAAGGCACCTCCGCCAGCATTTACTTGGCGCCCCTCTCGCCGGCGCTCGGCTCCACCGCAGTCTTATTGGAGCCCACATCAGTTCCTGGGGATGGGGCTTTTTGTACCCAGAGGACACCATGGGGGGGTCCCACCTGCCTGTCTGAAGGCCGCACTTTGGCCCGCTGCACCTGGGACGCGAACCCGTATGGAGGCCATGGACGCGGCCCCGTTCCCTGGGCTTCAGGGCCCTGAGCCTGCCGGGGGGGGGGCGGGGGGCCCATTCCCAGGCTCGGGCTGCTGGGCTCGGTCGGTCGCAAACTCGGGGCTCAGGTTGCCTCCCCAATCGAGCTACGGCTTATACCCTGTACCCAAGACGCCCGACCGGCAGGCCAAGGCCGTCCCCGTGTTCCAACGTGCAGAGGACAGTCCTTCGGGCTGGGAGGGACAGGGAGCCGCCCGGCCGCGTGCGAGAGTCAGCGGTCTCGCGTGTGGCCCCGGGACAGGCCTCGTCACCACGCCAGGGGTTAGTCAGTAAAAGTAGAGCAGATTCGCGAGGGCCAAGTCTGACCACTGGGCACCCGGACTCTGAGCTCCTTCCCTCCGCCGCGGGTTTGCACCCCTGAGTTCCGGGAAGTGTTTGCGGTCCTGCCTCAACCTGAGAGCGGGCGGCCGGGGATCCTCAGGGCGGGGCGCTGGCCGCCTCCCCCGACAGTGCCCTCCCGCGTGGGGCGCTTCGTTGAATGGGGAGCATGACGGAGCTGCGTAGTGGATACTCAAATCTGCATTCTTTCGGGCGATAAAATATGCTCTCGTATTTTCTCCTGATTTCCCATTAAAACCTTTGCCTAACTAAACTCCCATCCAACGGGATTTATTTCGTCCCGGGGGAGATAAATCGGGCAAATTTACAGTCCGGAAGGCACCTGCCTCGCTAATGGGCCCTTCATGGAGTGCGCGGCCGGC